TTATTATTATTTGGCTAAGGAAAGCAATTAGATATCGTGAATTAAAATAAAATATTTTCCTTCAATCTACGATACGAAAAGCAAAGGAGCTAGTATTCCTTTATAAAAGAAAACAATTAAATTGAAACATACGATTAACATTCATTTTTTTTTTTGTTCACACTTCTTCAATGAAAAAACAAGTTGTGTTTGTAAAAAGTTGTTTAAAGACTATATTTCAATATCATGAAAGAGTAAAAAATTTACACCAAAAACGTTTGCCCATAAAAAAAAAAAACGTAATAAAATTTAAAGTTCATATTTCTAAAGCAACCACAATATGAAAAATAATTATTGTAATACTGTAAATTGCATCATATTTTTGGGGTGTATTTGCTTATTTTTAATATTTAATCAATTATCCTTTTTATAATTGATCTTTTACAAATTATTTGTCAAATTTGCAAGTTAAAATGTTTTTATTCCAACATTTTGTTATAGTTAAAGAAAGTGGAAGGCAAAAAAGAAGAACAGCTAAAAATGCAGAAGAAATAATAAGGAAGAAATATCTTAATCATGATAGCGATTTAGAATCGAGCGACGGCTCTGAAAAGTTTGTAATTGTGAATCATAAAATGAACCAAGATGCACGTCCTTTATCTCCACCCTCTTTGAAACGAAATTTTACCGCCTTTGATGGCGCCACTGTGAATGGTAGCGTTAAAAAAGTTAAAATGAATTACGAAACTCCATCCAATGAATTAGTAGTAGAGAAAAATAATCTTGATAATGTTAAAAAACTCGACTATGTTCACAAGTTCTTCCGAAGAGATCTGAAGGAAAAACTGCCAAAATTGACGCAGGAAGTATGTTGAAGATATACGAATTTTTTTAAAAGTAGTTCAACAGTAATAATAATAACACAATATCGATAATAAAAATTGTATGTTAATCCAAACAAATTATTTAAGGAACTCGAAGAACTTCTAATACAGAAAATTGTTGAAACTATCACGATGCGTGGTGAAATCGGTAAATTGAGAGAACAAGCACGTATATCGGAAAGAAATCAAGAAGTAACGCGTGCAAAGTGTCAGCAATTGGCGAAGCAGATTAAAGACTTCGAAATGGTTTTAAGTCGTAATGCTGCGGATCGGCGAGCAAATAATGACAAACCAATTCCACCAATCAAAATCAATAGATCTGTTGGATTACAAGTTAACTTCATAACGGTATGTGTCAATAATTTTAATGAAATGTTCGATTAAATCTGACAAAAGTTTTTTATACTATTTTATCCTCGATTACTTTTGTACAGGATCATGGGATGCAGAATTTGCGACAACTCCAACAGAATTGTAACATGAAACCCCTACCCGTTTCAAATAGTTCTAATACACCAAATACGTCTAGCAATGAAACAAATAACGGATCTAGTCCACGGAGAGGAATTAAAGTAAGATCTCCAAGACGATCTGAACCAGCAGCTGGACAACAAGCTGCTGGAGTCTCGCAAAATCACACCCCGTCGCCAAACATTATGCCTTCTATAACTCCCGCAGCTTTAGTTGTAGCTAAACCTGTAGATACACAGCATACTTTAACGTTACCTACTCAGTCTAATGTTCAACAAATCATATCAACAGTAAGTATTTAAAATTCGTTATACATCGATCGAATTTGTGAACGAATATGCTGGTAATTATTGTAGCCACAGTCACAACAACCAACGCAAACCGTAGTTTTAAATGGAAAGTTTACGAATCAAATAAATCGTCAAAATACTACTGTGGCTATTGCGAAATCAAGAACAAGCGACCTTATCGATCTTACGGACGAAGAAGAGAAAAGTAAAGGTACGTAAATTTTCATTTAAGCCGCTTTCTTCTTTAGCAATAGCGAACAAAAACGTACGTTACGAAAAACTTTGTAATTTATAGTTGCTGCCAATGTACCAGTTGTTACTACTACGATAACCGATCAACAAATAAATTTAGCACAAAAAACACAATCTTGCTTCCAAAGGGTAATTCAAACTATTCCTGGGAATGTAGCTATAACAAGTCAACCTCCTAGTATAAGAGTAGTACAACCCGCTAGCCAACCGACACCTACTGCCTTAGTGGTACGTGGAAAGACAATATTTGAAAATACATGATCGGCACGTTAAACATTTGCATGCAATTGTCTGTTTAGAATAATATGAACGCTCCTCGATTAGCATATGTGATGCAAAGCGGTGTAGGTCCAACGCGGCAGTTACTAATAACACCGAATTCCAATCCGGTAAAGTGAACGTTGACACGGTCATATTAAAATGATTTTAAACAATTAAGTATACGCAATTGTTTCGTAGTTTTATAAAAACAAAAAAATGTATTACTTTAGATGCGGCCAGTGACTTCTTGTAACAGAGCTTCGTTTTCGACTGTGACGTACAAACCTGGCAATGTTGGTAATGTCATGCTAAAATACGTACCTAACATATAAACACTATAACGAATAATATAAATAGCGGATATAATTCAATTCTATTTGCAGGAATATCAACGGTTGCAAATGGAACGGTTAGAGTTTTGACAACATCGGCTACCGCTCCGGCGGTACAATTAAAGGTATTGCGTATTTTTAATTGTTTTTATCGTCTGTTTAAATAGCATTAACAACGTCCGTTATACCTCTCTTTCAGCATCCTGCTCCTTTACCGGACACACGAAAATATAATACTCTGAATCCTAGTTTGAAGCTTCCGCCGCCAGCTCCGTCACTAAAAATTTCTAAAACTTCGAATGGTGTGTTATTGAAGTTACATTTATTAAGAGGCTCGAGCAGTACAAATATAAAACGTCTATCATTGTTACACAGGCATAGTACTATCGTGGAATATGAGTTTGTCCGACAAACATGCGGATATCGCTAGTTACCAATTGTATGCATACCAAGAAGTTGCTGGAATCTCTCCTAGTATGTCGTTATGGAAAAAAGTAGGAGATGTTCGAGCTTTACCACTGCCTATGGCATGCACTCTTACGCAAGTAATTTGAATCATTATTCAGTAATCATTATAAAACATATCGATACATTTAATATCGCTTATTTTTTGTTCACAGTTTTCCGAAGGCAATAATTATTACTTCGCAGTCCGTGCAGTTGATACACATTCCCGAAAAGGACAGTATAGCACACCTGGCAATATTTCTTTATAAGATATACGACCAATACTAATTATTATTTCAATCCTATTTTCAACGCACAGTTATAATGTAACAAATCGTGTCTCGTATAGCAACAAATTCTTGCAGTCTTCGAAATTATCATTTAAGGTTAATTTATCATTAAGGTACTATTATATTCTTTAGGTTGCATTTGAAAATGAAAAAAAAAATATTAGTTTGTTTCTGGAGTTTGTCGCACGAGAATAGCAATTGGATTTTTTTCTTTTACAGGGTGACCAGACGCCTTAATTTATCATAATCAATTGCATATAAGATAAATTTGACAAAAATTACAGGAGTGTTTGTAATCAAGTAAGTGTGTTGTATGGAATACACATGCGAATGAATCTATTGTATAGTATTTGTTTAATTATAAGTAATTATTGTTCATACAATTGCTGGTAACTATGATAGACTGTAGCTAACATATTTTTCTTGTTCTTTTTGTACGCCTCTTAATTTACAAAATCAAAAAATATAAATATTAATTCTGGCAATGTATAGTCTACCATTCTGTCTTCGCTTAAAAATTTGCAATATAAGGATTTTATAAAATTTGTGTCATGTTTCATGAAGTATTATTTATACGTCACCCGGTAGCATACGATAATGAATTATAAAAGAATGTTTTGAAACTTGATACATACTAAACTAATGACATTAACGTGGTAGTGAAATTTCATGTCTGTAAAAAAAATCATATAAAATATTCTAGTCAGGAAAATTGTTTAGCAATTGTTTCGATATTCACATCTCGCAAAGACTGCTATTAATTAAAAACAAATACGCAATTACTTACAAGTCTGATATCGATATTATTATTCACTGGAGGTGTTCAAAAAATGTGGCTTCCTTGCATTACATATTAAATGTCATCTGTTTTAATTCGTTCATTAAATTTAGTTTACTCTGATTGTTACTTTGTAAACGAGTCTTGCTGATACATAATTTGCTCAATTTTTATACAATTGTAATAAATTATAAATGTTACGTTATATATACAATGTAGATTTTAATTACGTAAAGAAAGGCCATGAATCAGTATCTGTAAATATTAATCTCTACATATTCTGACCTTTAACATTTGCAATTAGGATGTATATGATCTATAGTATAATTATCTAATACGTCGTGTCTAAGTTTCGAACAGTTTTGTGTGATAAGAATGTATAATAAAGTGATTGTTCATTTTGTATGTAAGTTTATAATGAAAAATAACTCCTATAATTATTTGTGGGTTTTAATGAAATAAAATAAGTAAGTTTCTTAGAAAATCAAGTGATGGGTAGATACTGAATGTAGTATACATATAATAGTTACTTCGATTAATTAGTAGTAAGCTAATAAGATCACTATAAAAGTATAAGAAATTTAAAGAATTATAATCATTTATCTAATTTCAAAAAAATTTATACAGATTTAGTAAACAATTTTAATATTTAAATGTTATGCAATATTCAAAGACCTATTCAATTACGTAAATATTTAACTAATTTTATATTAGTCAATTTCACAATTACAACAAACAATTAGTCAGTTAGTTAATTTTATCAATTAAAATATATAAAAAAATCTTGAAAAGGACGACAATGTATGAGACATAATTAACACGATTTTACATTTCCCGCTCTTTTCGTGGATAATTTTCTTTCCTATATTGTGTCAATTGTTAATAGTGCATATACATACAGACATAATTGCATGTATGCATATGGAGTTTATATTTTAATTTCCTCCTAATTAATTTAGGGATCAATGTGCAAAGCGAACATGAAACATGAATTGGTAAGGTACTTTAAATTGTTGTCGGGTTTTGTTATGTAGGATTATTGTTCTTTTTTTTTTTCATTTATCATTTGCGTGCCAATAATATCGTTTGAAGACTTATGCAAATATAATTGTTACAAAATGTTGCATTGGTAACTTCAGAATACGCATAACGTGCAAGATATTAAATTATTTGAAAAAGAACCTAAATGTTACAAACAAAATTCGACACCTATAATACTGTATCTTTAAATCTGTTACCTTCCCACCTTCCCACGTAGCAATGGTAGAAAGTATATCGGGAAAAGAGTAACCAGTGAATATTTTAACAAATTATTACTTACAGTTAGGTATTATCTACCGGGATGAGTAATTTTACCAGATAACGCTACGTTAAAAATTTACCAGAGTTCGAGCTTCCGAGCGTATTTTTAATTTGATGTTTGTCACAATATTTTGTTGCCTGTCGCTGTACCATTCGTACGTGTCAAGAAAGTCAGAACGATACAGTATTATGTCAACCGCAAGAACAATTGCAATTTCTGTAAAGATATCGCAGCACAGACGTAACGACAATCTTTTTTCCCGATATTCTAAGAAAAAGTGTAAGCAAGTGGGGGCGGAAGTAGTTAGTCGGTAATTTGTGTATACTATTTGCTGTACATCGTGACACAGAACATGAATAGTTTGTGAAATTATGAAAATAACCATAAAATCGAAGGATATGCAAATGAATGATATTTAAAGCATCGATGCGCGCTGCTTCGATTAATGAATATGTGCGAAATATTACGTAGCAAGTTTCTTACCTTTACAATATATCACGAATTGACAAGCACAACATAAATATTGTTTCGACGACAGCAATACTCATCAGACGTTTCATTAGCGATTTGTAATCTCTTTCGAGGAATTTGTATATTGTTGATCGATTGTTGTATTATTTCTTTAACAACTGTCGCGAATCTCGAGTTTTTTCTTAGATCAAGTAAAGAGTTTCACATGCTATCAGATTTGTATCAAGATAGTGCAACCGTTCTACAAACGCATAGTGTCGTACCTATTTAATGAAAATTGATGTTCTTTCTATTTACCTCGAAAATGACCAGAATTATGCAGAAGAAAATGAAACGTGACGAGCATTGTGAAGTTGTGCCAGTATGAACAGATTGAAATATGCAGTGGCAAATCGTTTTATGGGTGTGACATTTTTAATTTTAATGATTTATATGTGCCCTTTGTTATATGGCAAGCGCTGTTGCAAACTGTCTAGATAAAGTCAGTAAGCACGGTTCTTGTATACAATCGGTAGTGAAATCTACATTGATAATCAGGGGATGCCCAGCCTACATTCGCTCGTCGTACGACGAGCTCCACTAATGGATATGGGTACTGCCACCAGCTCCGTGACATCTGTAAATCCGTCTACTAAAATTGCTACCAATCAAAAGAAAGCCGACAAGTCGAATAAACTTAATGGAGTCAGATTACCTTTGTTACGAAAGGAAGCAAGCGTTGTAAATCTTTCATTGACGGAAAGAACTGTGTTGGGGAAAGGAGTAGATGCACCTTTACTTAGACCCGAAAGTAGCGCGAGTTTGGAGGCCCGTGGTAGTAGCTGGCTAAGCATGGGTCCAGGAGTATTGAGAAAATGTGAAACAACAGTGGGATTAAGTACTTCTGCGTTAGAAGGGAGACCCATAAATCGCAGTCGTGTGTGCTCTAGATGTTCCAGTTTGTTATCATTGGCATCTAGTTCACGCTACAGCTTAGCTGCAGGCAATTTTGTCCCTGCAGGTTCTCAGCAAACGCTTGGACGAATTTTTTGTAAGATATGTCTTGTCGACACTTCTCTTTCCAAAACATTTAAAATAGAAGGCTGTGGTTGTTCTTACTGTAAAGATGTATGTGTAACTTTCTTTTTAGTATATTTTGTGAGAAGGTATGAAAAGAGTAATATTATATATTACAATGTTTTAGTGTGTGAAAGAGTATGTCGAGCATGAGATTGAAGAAGGTGCATATGAAATTAGTTGTCCAGATGCGCAATGCGAACACGGAGCAATACTTTCTATAAAGGAAATAACAAGTCTAGTTAGTTCTGAACTTATGGAGAAGCATCATAAATTTCGCTTGAATAGAGGTATGTAAAGCTTAATATATGTTTTAACATGATATATATATATATATATATGTTTTAATAATTTTATTTATAACATACAGATGTATCTATGGACAAAGCACGTGCTTGGTGTCCACGCGCAGGTTGTGAAACGATATGTTCGATAAATGCTACCGCATCAAATGGGACTGCTATCGGACCTGTTCATTGTCCCAATTGCTCTACAGACTTCTGTTCTATATGTCGAGAGTCTTGGCATAGCGGTCCATGTTCTGATCTTTCGTTAGGTATACCATTCGATGGTGACCACATCAAATGCTGTCCTATGTGTTCTGTACCTATCGAAAAGGATGAAGGATGTGCTCAAATGATGTGTAAAAGATGTAAACATGTTTTTTGTTGGTATTGTTTAGCTTCTTTAGATGTAAGTATGTTTATATATGAATCGCTTTCCTCATTAAAATTTTCTATCTTTATGATTATACGAATATTACAGGATGACTTTTTATTGCGACATTATGACAAAGGACCATGTAAAAATAAATTGGGTCATTCACGTGCGTCAGTTATTTGGCACAGAACACAGGTCATTGGAATTTTTGCTGGATTTGGGTTACTCTTGCTTGTTGCATCACCGTTACTTTTATTGGCTGCACCTTGTATCGTTTGCTGTAAATGCCGTGTATGTGGTTCATCTAGACTTGAACAAGAGGAAGGTGATACTACGACATAGGAACGTTAAAAGGTTTTCAATATTCCTCCAATTTCTCTTTAGTACGATGAACAGTTAAATTACATTATTCAGTATGTGAATGCCACTGGTGACTTATATAGATATACATTGTATCTAGAGCATCGCACCACCTATATTATAGGGGATGTGAAAGATAAAACATCTGTGAATTACACGTATAAAATCCTCGTGATAAAGGGATTACATTCTATTTTATACTACGTTAGGATTTTATTTATAATCAAAAGATATTTTGATTATCGACAAGTTAGTTTCAAGTCTTTGAGTTTACAATAAAATATCTCCACGTATTTGTACATATTTCTAGTGTGATTATTTTTAAGTAAAAAAACTTAAAACGTTTACAGAAAGCTACTTAATACTTAACTGCATCTTGACAGTTATAAGTTTAGATTTTGAGACGTAGTAATGTCTTTTTTTTACCGATACTATTAATAATATTTACATTTAAACGAGTTTAATACACCAAATCATAAATACTCATGAATTTTGTTCATAACATTCCAGAAAATTACGTTTACATCGGATGTACTGCCATATTCAGAATTATATCAGCTCTTTTTATAGATACGTGAATTACTTCCCATATATTTGTAAAATCTTTAACAATACTCGACACATCATACTCGTGTACTTTTAATATTCGTTGGTTGTCGTCAATCTAAAGTAAAGTTTTTGTGAATATAAATAAGCATAAATTAATAAATGAACAATGTATATCTATATGCACGTCTGTTTGAATTCAGCATAATTAAGGTATTTCATTATTGGTAAATTTGCTAACTATCGGGTACATCGCATAACTTCTTCGTAATGTATTATTTTTCGAGTGCTCCTCTGTTTATATTGCAGAATTAACTACATGTATATTACATGTACATTATTATAGATACATACATATATATATATATGTAATTAAGTGGTACGTAAGTTCTACCATATTTGTGAAAAATTTCAAATTTAGAATATCTGTAAATTCCATTATTAATACGTATTTAATATACTTAATATTATTAACAATATACTTGTTACAAAAACGATTTCTTAGTTTAACCCTTTGCGGAAGAACGTTTTGAAATACGAGTCTTGAACGGAATGGGTCGATTTTGAAAGAGAAACGGTTTAAAGCTAACTTTATTCGATGTGTAAATTTAATTCAAATTTAATAAACTGTTACACGCAAGTACTACCTTTCATCGATTTGCTACGAGAAATTCCTGACGCGTGTCCAAAAATGGTAGAAGTATGTTGTCTGAAATATACGCACTCTCAAAGGGTTAAAAGAACATTGCTCTGTATATGGTGTAACGCTATCGAAATTCAATTCTTCGACTTCATAATAGTTTAGGCCACGAATAGTAAGAGCACCATGTTATAACGAATAAAGTTAGATAATTATAACATATATGACAGACCACTCAATTTCTAATAACAGTTACATGCTATACTTGGCAAAGCATTTCTTTCTATTTGAGGAAAAAAAATTCATAAATTTACATTATTATCGCGATGGTAAAAGATATTTTTCGTTTTATATGTGTATACGTACGTATACACACATGTGAATAGTTTATAAATTAATATATCCATAGGTAAATTAATCGAGATATATGGTCGTCCTTTACAGTACATTAGTGGACGAGAAATTATTTAAATTACATGAAACATGCAAGTCTTTATTAAGCATCTGTTAATCTATCTTATTGATTATAATTGGTTGTAAATAAAGGCACTGGTTTCTGTATATATATATATATGTACACACATATGTCTATATATACATGCAACTTCGTCCTTAGATTACACATACATGTACATGTAAATATTTGTATCTGTTGATGCAACTATGCACGGGAGTCATTTCAACTCGTACATCATATGAAATAAAAATGTAATTGATTACAAGTTATAATAGAAGATAAATGTAGCAATTCATTTGCTATTATCTAGTTGTACGTTATTGAATTAATAATAGAATGATCAATAAGTTATTAATGTTACAGACATCCTACTTTGGTATGATTTTCCCATATTATAATTATGTCAATGCTCGTTTAGAAACTATTCGTAATTCTAACTAATTAAATTGATTTTATCTTTGAGCAATTCGAAAAACACGTATGCGAAATAATTAGAATTCACATAAAACTGCAGTGCATATAAATTTTACGTTATTCTTATGATTTCTATGAAAATCTTTCAATAATATAATGTTATATAACTTTGATAAGCTTTGTAAGCTTGATCTAACATTATATTTATTAATAATATATTTGTACAGTTGATTTAATTTTCGTAGTAAATATTACTTTATTTTGCCTTAATTTACTGGATACACATGCAGTGTGCATAAACAAAACTATTTAAGATATACATTATAAAAATTCAATTCTGCTTTATTTGATATAAAATATTTACAGTAAATATTAAGTAATATAATTTTGACTTTTTTGAAAGACAATAGAAGAGCAACAACTCTAGAAAATTCAATTTTCATCAATTTGTATTTTATCATTTCAGCTATGGGAATTATATTAACGACATGAGTGATTTTTATTTTTCATTTTTGAAATCAGTTATATTTGATATATATATTTCCATATTTTTTTAGATTATTCGTATGAAAGGAGACGGTTTTGGTCAATAGTTTGAAATAATCAAAAGACAGAAATAGTTTCGACACAATATTGCCGATGTTTATTACACAATAACCATTTATTATTTTTCTAATACAATATTTCTTGTAAGAAAACTCATAACTTATTTGGGTTAGAACTGGTTGGAATGAAAATATTTATATCATTAAGATGCATTAGATTACTCGCAGAATTCTCGGTAACAGCAAGTTTCCACTCGGTAGAGTTTCATAGGGCTGTATACTTCACAAATTCTCTCGTTATTTAATGCATTTCCTTTACTAATCTTAACGAATCTTCGATCCGGAGATGGTGCATATTTAATGGATTACATGATGACAGTTCTGTAGTCCTACTAAGAAGCTGTGATAGAATTTAGATTTACGTTTAAATACGTGGCTAGTTAAAAAATAAAAAAAATAAAAGAAGAAGAGAGTAACAATCAATATCTTAAGTTTATGTACTACAATACATTATTAGTACCATTGTAAAATAGTTAGTGTGGAAAAATATAGTTAATAAATTTAATAAACGCGATTAAACATAACATCGCTTGATATATGGATTATTTATTTGATCAGACCCTTGGCTCTAAATAAGTCTCTCATCAAGCCCTTTAAGTACCCAATTTCTCGCTGCAAATCTTTCACTTGATCTTTTAATTTTTCGTTATGATCAGCGAGCTCACGTTCTTCGCCCAGTATCTCTTTTATTTCTTGTTTTTTCTTCTGCCTGTAACGTGTTGCCGCGTTTTTGTTTTGTTCCTTTTTCCGTACTTTCTTGTCCTCGACAGATGGGCGGGAGTAAGGCTTCTGGCGATTTCTAGCCGATGCACATTTCCTTCCAGATTCCAAAATCCAATCTGGATCATCCACGGAATCTTCAGATGACGTGTAACTACCACCAGAGCTGGTACATGGGCTAGATGGTGGAATATCTTCCGTGTGTAAACGTACATACTCGTCCACCACAGCTAAGTCGTGCGCAACATCTGTGTTTAATGGATCCAATGATATATTCTTTGAGTTCCATTGAACAGGTACTTGGTTGACATATGATTTTTCGTCGAATACTACCACACCATAGGTAGATTGGTGATCAGAATATAATGGCGGTACTGGTTGCAATGTAACGAGTAATTGGGTATCTACGCTTAACGATTTATGTGGTGGAGGTGATTGAGGAGGCGTAAGTGTGGAACTCGATGAAGGGACTATTTGGTGGCAAGCTTCCACATCTCCAAGAACAGTTTCGAATTCTTGTAACAGTGTTTGGGTATGATCTTGTTGAGGAATCTTCGTGACTTCGTTATACGATGGTGGTTTAAGATGTACATTCTCGGGGACTGGTAATTCCTCAAAAATGGGAAGTTCAATTTTTTCCTCTAGCCAATCCGAGAAAGGCTCTGTAAAATAAGAAAAATTATTTGCGATGTAAATAGAAATGTTTGTTTACCTTTATAAAGCTGAAACATAGACAAAATTAATCTTTGGATCCTGTTTGACTTTATGCATACAAATTTGATATCAAACAAACATCCGTATCTTTATATCTGATTCTGATAATCAGATATATTCATATCTATTAACAAACATATTTTTAATTATCTTCCAGAATGTTATTATAGTAAAAATATTAAAAGCATTCCGATATGATAGGTTTCATAACTAAATATTATACATTTAAATTCTAAATCCAATAATTAAATTATTTCGTCTATTTTGTCAATATACATTTAGCAGTTAACAGTACTTTTACTTGTCTTGCATGAACAATAAGTAGGAGTGGTGCATTGATACATGTATATATGTATAATTTCATGGACGTTACTAGTTCAACTAGAAAAACAAGTTCTTGATTTGCAATTTCTTTAGCTACCAATGCATTTACTGCAACCAATACTGATACGATATATTATTTCGAGCACAATTCGATCTTAAAGACATTCAAATTTATTTCGAAATAAAAAAATGTTTCTTATTTTTTTTTTATTTGGTAATACAAATTTTAAAAATCAGTTTTAATTTGTACTGAAGGTTGTTGCAGGATGTTTACCGAATCGAGAATAAGGAAACTTTTCAGCAAAAATGTAAACAGGAAGTTTTCGAATCTATAAGTTCTCATGTCAATTTTTTTTCTTATAGATCGATATATCCACATTTGTAAACTGAAAATGAAATATTATTCGTTGATACATATATATATGTTACTACGAATAAAACTTGAAGTTTTCCAAACTACCCCTAACCTACTTATTCGTGCAACTTTGATCAGACTTTAATCGAAGTATACGTGTTATCTTCATTCAAATACAGAGGGCACGAGGTTAGATAAGATTTTTTTTTCCCTCGAAATTATAAAAATTCGTACAAGGTAAACATTATCCTTGAACAAAATTAATTGTTATAATATGTTCTAAAAATAATTCAATCTCCTGAGTTTAATTTCTTATTTTTTCAGTTGTGTGAATTACGGTCAACTTTTACATCGACTTTTTTTAGGGTGATTTTTTCAGTATATATTCTGATTGTCTCGAGTCACGAGTTCAGTTTCGACAAACAATATTATTTATCAAACGAACATATATTTCTTTCATTAAAAATTCGTTATAAATACAATATCGAAAATGGTAGACGATACACGATCGTGCGTCTCGCAGTACTTGCGTACTATTATTCGCGCGAAATTTGACAAAATAATTCGATAGTAACGGGACTCGAGAGAAAGAGAGAGACGATTCGATCCAATTCTGCTGCACGATAATGCAAACAATGTGGCAACAGTGCGTTGATACGCGTAATAAAGATATTTTTCTATCGAAACGAGCGCTGGAAAGAGAGAGGAAATCAAGTAAGAGAAAGGAAACGTACCACTAAAGCATGTAGCAGCCATTATCACGTGCAAGTGTTTTCGCGTGAACCCTTATTAAAAAAGAAAAAAAGTAGGGGAGAATATAGATTGAAAAATTGTTCTTGATGCACGGTAACACGGTGTAATTTTTGTTTGTTTGTGCGAAGCAACCAAGTCCACCTACAGGGACGCGAGCAGTTCGAATTCAACGTCTTTTTACCAGTTTTTGGGAATTTACAATGATTTCTCGGTTCCACGTGTAACGATATGCGAACTGCATGCTATCATACAACATTAGCACGCTCGGGCATCGAGAGGCGTCTTTTCCTTGGATCACTTTTAAAGATGCCAGTATCGTTAAAGTACCGGTCTATACTCGAATTTTGTCTCGCCCAGTCGATTCAAGTTAAACGTTCATCGATATATTACGCACTTCACCAATCACTTTTTATCGATCGTCATCCAACGCGATCAATTAAAGATCACCCGTTCGCGGCAGTCTCAATCGTCCAAGAACAATCTCAGATCTTATATTCCAGAAAGTGTCGCAGTCTTTACGGTCCGTAGCGTTCGCTGGAGATATATATCCTACGAACACGTGCGAACGCACTAACGTATGTTACCAAAAATTCTGTCGCGAACGATATCAATGGAACTTTCTTTAACCGAACGATATCTCTAGCTGGCCGAGAACAACAATATGGTACAGCATACGATTCACCATAGAATCATCCGACATTTGGTTTTCTGTCGTTAAGATCACTAACACGGTTTGTCGATTCATACATAAGTCAGGAATGCGGCTGATTTCCTCGCCGAAAAGAGGCGCAATAATCTCACTGGCGCAGCAACGGGCCCGACGGAAATATTCGTTGATTTAAAACAATAACAAAGTGCATTAAACCCGGCAAACGATTAAGTATCGTTGGAAAGACGACTTGTGACGAAGACTAATCGACGGAATCGTACGATCAGTTTGCAATACTGGGAGACCACTCCTGCTTATCTTTGGACTTTCCCCTTAGCCGCCCCCACTCCGACGCTATTAAGCACACGTCATTCCCCTATCGGCCTTCAACCAAAGCCGTTTATATAGAGGTTAACCAGTTTGTCCCACTCTCTTTTTCCAGAAAAAAAGAAAGAAAAATGAGCCGCGCGCTAGAGGAAGCGAGAAAGAACGAATGCGATAGGAATATCGAGAATGCAGTCGGGACAAAATGGTAACGTTTAGTTTCTGTCCTTTTCGTACGCAATGTTCTGAAAACTTGGGAACGCAGAATTAATAGATGCATGCATAAGAACGAACGTGCTCTGTAAACGTTCGCCTACTCTTAGGCACAGTCTGATAATCAAAGATATATCAACATCACGGTATTTATCTAATATTCGTTTCATACGCCGCGTGTTACGATAGTCTCGCAACTAGTCGTATTTATTCTCCTAACTCTCTAGACAATCCGAACAACAAAATTTGGACTATCCTCGGACGAGTTTATTTACTTGTTAATTAATATATATGTCTGTATATATATATATTTTTTTTTTGTAAAATACATGCTATACACATGCTATACTATACATTGGTTTTGCGAGTACTATCTTAGCATTTAAAAATGCTTAATTAACTTTGTCTTTTATAGTTATATAAACATTGTGACACAACTTGATTTTCTTCCTTAATTGAACTTGAAATGTATTAGTTTGAACTGCAAGCTAAATTCAAACAAAAATTAGATTCAATGCATAGTAATAATAAAAACATGTATAAAGATGTATATCTCTCTGTATATTTCTACTTTGGTTCAGAATCTTCTTATTCCCAATCAATGCTATTAATAAGATTGTTACAATAGCTACGCAAAGGCTTACCTTCTTTAATCCATTCGTCTAATTCTTCTAACAGTTTGGTGGCAACTTGTGCACGGGTGGGATTATTTTCATGCGTGATAGGTTCAACAGCATTCTTAGCAGGCTCTACAGGCTTATCATCGAATAAAAGCCAGTCTTCTTCTACATCTGACAATGTCCCCTTAGGGGACACTGGCTCGAATTTCCACGTCCACATCTCCTGGTCTTGACTCGCTGGCATTGTCGATATGGTTCCAACCGAGTGGTATTAAGAAATGATGAAAAGAAATTTGTGTCGTTTGGTACGACGTAGCTCGAAGTGAGCGCCATATTGGCTCTGAAAATGTTAAATACAAATATCAGTTATAATTCAAGCGAGTACTAGTCTAATTTTTCATTTAAATGCCAGTTATAAAAATTAGGGTATAGAGGAGAGTTTTCGAAGGAAAGAATAATTTACATATACAAGATCATGAACTAGATAAATAAATAAATCATAGAATCTTGTCGATCGCATTATGTAACTTGAAAACAACTTGTAATTGTAACGATGTTGTAAAATACGACAAACAACGTCCTATGACGCAACACCAAACAGTCAAATCTGGTGAAATTTTTCAGCTATACCGCGAAGAATTAAAACGCCTAAATCTCAATTTTCTCAAGTGATAAATCTTGATATCGCGATATGCAAAGTTAAGGATTGTATCGTAGGGTGAGAGCGTCATTGCGATGTTAATGCTTGGTCACGGGAAGGATGATTCACAAAATGGCAGACTCGACACCATGCGATCGCTTGGACGTTTGGAGGAGGATCCGGACGAGCCCTTAAGGGTAACGAATATTACTTACTCCATGGTAATTTGTTGTGTCGGCACACTTGCGTGTGCAAGCCGCTCGTGTAACTACTGACTCATCTTGCCCACGGTGTGAAGCGTACAGAAAATTCGAACGTCTTTCTCTTGCGAAGCATGAGTGAAGAATGAGCGCCTTCCCGAGAATTTGACCGCTTCGGTCACGTGATCCGCGAATGCGTACGCAAGTGTGCTCGGCTCGAGTCGTTTTCGTGGATTTTCTGCGCAGGCACCGTGAAAGTTGAAATACGCGATCTATGGCCCACTTTTATTCAAGAGAAATTTATGGTACAGTTAAAGGAATATCGCATGTAACACATGTATCTGAATGAAAATGTTCGAGGAGTATCATTCGATATTAGCCCTCAGGGGCTGTAGCGGTGTTTTTTGAAGCTACAGTACGGGCTTAGCAACCCCGAGGTACCCGAGCTAGAGATGAGAAGTAAGATATGCTGCAAACAGTATCAAAAGAATGCAGGAGTCATGTAAGACGACGATAAGAAAAATGGAAATAAGGTAGTAATAAGTAAGCACTAGTACAATAACTTTGTATAATAAGTTAGGCACTTCAAATAAATGAATGAACGAATGACGACTATTCGTTCTACGAAAATCACGGGAGCTGCTAGTTTGATATAAATATTTAAACAAAGGAAAACAATGTTCTTTATTTGTTTAGAAAACCTATCGTAGTCGTACAGTTTCAAATGCAATCGCAAAGGAGTTTGCATTCTTAAAATCTAATCGTTCACTGTTTACGATCGACGACGTGTCAGGATCAAACTTTAATAAGAAAATTTTAACATTTGTTGCGCGTTTTGGTTTGTGAATTAGTATATGGAGTATTAGTATATGGACAATGAAACGATAAAGGTAGACGAGGATCTATGCTTGTTTCTTGAAGTACTCCAGCCTGAAACTCCGAGATAGTAACATGCCAATTTTCATTCTGAGCTGCCTCGGTGGAAGTAGAGTAAAAATCTTTTGGATCCCGTGGGCCCAGTAGCCAGCAGTAGTGTCTACCTTTCCAAGCGTGGTGATTGCGTTTTTAGCGTACGTTGTTGCGCTCGGTACTAAAACGCTGGACACCTGCAACGACAATATATTACAATAATTCGTTTAATAATCTATTCGTCACGTGTCACGGCCACTTCACCTGCAGTCTATCGCTGAACGCGTTCATGTTCGTATTGACGAAGAATGGCGTCAAGTGCTGTACAGTTATCCCGAATCGAGAGTACTCGACTCTGAGCGCCTCGGAAAAGCTGTTGATGTACACCTTCGACGCGGCGTACACAGTCATCAATGGCAATGGCTGCAGTTCCGAACCGGAAGACACGTTCACGATCGCGCCTTTTCCGCGTTCTTGCATTTGCTTGATGACTAATCGTGTCATTAACGTGGTCGCTCCTACGTTCACGTTAATGATGTTCCACAGTTCGGTCTCGGGAACTTCGCCGAGGTACATGGGGTAGCTGTACTGGATACCGACATTGTTCACTGGAAAATGACCGTGCGTAAATTAATGGCGACCAATCGGAGCGCTCGTGGTGCGTAGACTATCGCGGTGGAGCGCTCGCGGTGCGTAGGTTACCACGGTGGAGCGCTCGTGGTGCGTAGACTACCGTGGTGGAGCGCTCGCGGTGCGTAGGTTACCACGGTGGAGCGCTCGCGGTGCGTAGGTTACCACGGTGGAGCGCTCGCGGTGCGTAGGTTACCACGGTGGAGCGCTCGCGGTGCGTAGGTTACCACGGTGGAGCGCTCGCGGTGCGTAGGTTATCACGGTGGAGCGCTCGCGGTGCGTAGGTTACCATGGTGGAGCGCTCGCGGTGCATAGACTACCGCGGGCGCTCCACAGACGGACGCTCTGATGGCTCGAGGTTTTCCGTTAATATCTCCTCAACGAAGTCTCAGACAACATTTTCGCTAAGGAAAAAGTTGTTCCAAATCACCCAAACCACCCCTTTCGGGGACCTCCAACATTTTTGGTACACCCTGTAAGAATGTCAGTAACCGTATTCGATTATTTACCTAAAATACCGATAGGTACGTCTTTTAGTTCTTCTTCGAGCTTTCTGTACACCTTTCTCCCTTCGCTAAAGTCTGTCACGATGATCTTCACTTCGATGTTCGGATTCTCCTGTAAAATCTCTTCCCTGGTCTTCTCCAACTTCTCCTTGGTTCGGCTGATCAGCACTAGGTTTAAATTTCTGGCGGCCAGCTCCTTCGCGTAAGCTTTACCGATCCCGTCGGTGGATCCCGTCACCACTAAAATTTCAATAAAAAATGTCAAAGAAAACCGCGAAATTCCCTCGAATGCGTCGACGCTCGCTCACCTGCCCATTCTCCGAACTTCTTGCGCAGATCGATCGGTTTCGTGTTGACTAACGGCACGAGAAATTCCCAGAATGCTCTAACGACGCTTCCGACGTTGTTCAGGAGAAGCCAAGCCACGAGCAAACCGATCAGTAGCCAGAACGCAAGTTGTAACATCATTTTTCTGAAACATATACGCGACTCAATTGCATTCGGGTTTCGGAAAAGCTCGCGAAAGAATTGTTTCCTTTTTACACATGCTTATATATCGCTCGTGTTTGTTGATAAACAATCGTTATCTATGTACAGTCCCGTAACGAGGACTATATTTATACGAGGAAATTTTTTTTAATTTTAAATGAGTTCCCTGTATATACAATATTCTATTCGTCAAGATATTTGTATGAATAATGTACGATCCAAATAAGAACAAATTTTCTATTCGTATTCAATGACGACAGAATAAAAGAAATATGAAACATAGGTATACGTTAAAATAATATAATAAATGCATAAACTTCGGACTGCACTAGACTTCGTACGTTATCTGATGTTCACTTATTCCGCAACGTGCATCGTGTAAAATAAGTTTCGCTTATTCGTGCGTTGCATGTTCCCTCTTTCGTTTTAGGAATATTTAACAAGCAAACGTAAAAATGCGATTATAACAAACTTCGGTAGAGTTTGCGCCCGCCTCTCAATTGCCACGAATCTAACTGGACTAACGTCAACTGGTAATATGCTTTAACTAATAAACCCATGTTTATTAGTAGGAACAATCAAGAACCAGGGATCAAAATAGTTAGAAAATATTACAGTTAGAATTCGTATGTTTTTGAGTTACAAGCGCGCATAACAACACGTCGTTTACCGCGGTCAGTAAATTTTGTATCGTCCAGGTATTTTTCCCCGTGTGATAATCACATCCTTATCTTTAGCA